TGGTTTTCTTCACAAATAATAAAATAGATTTATACGCCCTCCCTGTAGGAACAAGAATTCCATCACCTCCTCCTGAATTTCTGAGCTATCGAATATTTGATGAGTGCTTAGGGAATCAGTATTGTGTCTTTTCACAGCAGTAATCAAGGAATGAAGTATTCTCTGCCGTAATGAATCTACCGCAGGCCCAAAAGATGAATATTTCAAATGCAAAAGCAATATGTTTGTTTTGAACACATTTAAGTTTGGCTTTAATAAAGCAAGTAGTGAAGTGTGCAATGAATTATATTGTTAGATGGTTAAAACAGAGCCGTGCAATATGTCTGAATGCATTTAATCCAAGTAACTACTCATTTTAAATGCGACTTGTAAATATGTATTACATGTATATATACGAACAGATGACTCAGGAACCAGTGAGAGATCTGAGCCTTCCCTTCCACTCCTGGCTTGCTTCAAAACCGGCTCAGCCTGACAATTAACCAAGGCCTGGAGCCAGAATATCATTAAGTACAAGTTGAACCTTACGCGGGCTGAAATTAAGCACGTGCCCCAGCTATTCAAGTTAGGATCATTTAAACGGAGACTGAAGTGCCCTGCTGGACTGGGACCTGTGGTGTGTTTCAGCAGATCGGTGGGTCTCACCATGCAGCCACAGACAACTGTTCATTGGTCCCCAAATCAGCGCGCCCCTGCAGATGGGTCCCGCCACTGCCATGTTACTGTTTCTGCAAATCCAGCAGCCTGGATTACTGCGGACCAAGAGGATACTGTTGGCGGGAGGTAATGGCTGCGTTAAGTTAAACATCTTCCACCAACACTAGTTTCACTATGAAAAACACCAAGCCACCCCAATACTGACGGGAATGGTCATATTGTTTTCTCCTGAAAGCTTGTCAGGAGGCAAAGAGAAATCATTGGCATTACCTCATTTGTCTCCAGAAGACTCATATTTTTGCTAAAATAACAAGTGAGTTCTCTTTAACAACAAAACAAACAAGAGCTTTTTGACTCACAATGCTATTTAATACTTTGATCCCCTGTCCCTCTTGAAACATATTTTCTTCCACAGACTTTCCCACTTTAAGAAAAAAGCTATTTTTCCCACTGCTTCCCCCACCCTCAGTGAAGCACGTTTACGGGCTTTAATAACCACTACACCCGACACCAGCAGCCGGAGCTCCCTTCACCCCTTTTCAGCTTGTTCCAGCTGAACAGCTTTTAAAACAATTTGAACTGAAAAGATCAGAGGTTCCTAAGTCACTTTGCTCCTCTATTACACCCACTGTGGCCTCAGTGAAGACAAGAGAGGATTCTGAAGGAAACGCCATGCCATGGTGCAACGTTTTGATTGCTGTTTGGTTTTTGACAAAGCAAGGTATCTCATTCTGCCCCAAATACACAGCTACAGAACAAAAGCCTGCAGGAATTTTCAGCAGCACTCCCCCGTACGATGCTTGTAGTGATGCTACAGTCGAAAAGGGACCAAGTATCATGGGACCCTTTTCCTCAACATACGTGTTCACTTTAAAACTTGTACTCCAATGCAAAAATCAGCTTTCAGAGCCCAGCTAGAAATTTCAGGCCGGCTCACCTCATTTGCAAATTGAGAATACCTGCTACAGAGTCCCCACAGTGCTATTTTATGTGAGACCCTCTGAATGTCTATCCACAAAGAAATACAGAGATGAGCAATTACAGCAGTTTGTATATGCAATAATTGTTTCCTGATTTTAACTATTAGATTTTTTTTATGTGTCAGGCCAACTGACCTGCAGCACGCAAACAGAAATAGAATTTTTCAAGGGAGTTTACAATGAAAGCTATGAGAAAAGCATAGATTTAATTAGCAATTACAAAAAAGTTCCAAACGCTTCAATTACCCAAGTTCAGAACCAATGTGCTTTACCTGGAAATTGCCCCTGAAACAGTGAATTCAATACAGAAAATTCTTATATAGTTCAAGTTAAATTATTTAAAAAGGAGGAAAGAGGGTTCTTAATTATTTAATGTTTCACCAATAATTATATAGTTTAGTATAATGTTCACTCACTGGAGAACCTGATTTTCAAAGGAACATTTGTGAACATCAGTCAAACAAAAAACACCTGCCAGACTATAAATTCAGTCAGTGCAGTACACATTCATTCCAACACAGCATTAACGCATTAGCAAAAATCCAAATCTTGACTTAATGGCAAATCTATCCAATAATTTCTATGTTAAAATATTTACATAGAAAAGCATGCACAATTCAGTTTTCGAATGTATTTGTAAAAAACAGTATGACCTCTATTGCTACAATTTTTTAAAGCTGTGCTCTAGATAAATGAGTCAGAGATGGGACTACAGCTCTGGAAAATAGCAAACTATAAAATTAGTACTTGAATAGTCAAAGCTGCCAATCAAAACGTGGCCATGGACATCTTTGGGACATTTCATTCAAAAGTTACTAAGAATCAGTTTTAAAAGACAGCTTTTAAATTAGTCGCATGAAATACTAGCCACGGTAAGCTTATGCGCATGATGCCCTGGGGAGCAAGGCCAAAGGAACACCGAGTATTTCTGAACAAAACTGTAAAGGTTCTTCCAAGTTGTGGTTCACCAGCTCCAGCACACGATACACAGCTGAGGGAACTAAACTGGCACCTTGGGCAAACACAGTATGGATCTGCAAAGGATTATCATCATCTATTAATAACCCAATGTACAAAAACTCAAGCTCTATGGGACAAACTCTGGAAAACCCTCATGATGGCCAAAATAGCAGCTGCCACGCTAAAGTCCTTCGAGTTTACTTACATGGGCCACAATTCAGCACATGCCCTTCCAGAATGGGGACTTTGGGCCCTACAAATCTTCCTAGGCAGCTTTCCATCTCAGAGCTGTGCTACCCAGAAGGAAGACCTGATACACTCAGAAATTTAATGGAATGCCACAGATTTATCATTTCAACCCAAAGGCAAGGAAAAAAAATACAAAAAAAAAAAAAAAAAAAAAAAAAAAAAAAAAAAAAAAAAAAGAAAACCATTTCCTTGCAACCACAAAACAGGTTGTGCCTGGGTCACTTTGCCAAAGAGTTATCTTACCCCCAACTCTGGAAGAGATCAGAGACTGTTTATCAGTAATGGCTTCAGATTTCATGGCTCCTGGAGCAGAAGAGCCCAGCTGCACCATCATCCAGACTTTACAGCCTAATGTCCTGCAGCCTGCAGGGTTAGAAATGATGAAAAGTATAGATTTCTGCTTCCCTGAGGGGACTGCAACACTCGGTTGTGGTCTTAAAGAGCCTGAGGTCTCTTACAATCAAAGATGATGTTTTTTTTTTTTAACGGCATTACAGACTATTTTAGGTTATTTTTAGTGAGTTTAATGGCTCCCTCAGAATCGTGCAAAGTGGGACTTGCAGTAAGTGCAGCACCTGGCTTTGCAGGTGGGGAATACAAACCACAGTCCCCCTAAAATTTTTAGATCATCTAAAACCAGGGTTTATGGAATAAATGTCACATACAGACTACAAAACGGTGTGACACGGGGCAGTGCTTCACATGACTTATGTGAAGCACATCAGGGTAATTTAGCAATTAAATTCCACACACAATGCCACAACATGTCTTGCACACCACGGCATAACACATGCTGCTTCTGACACGGCACATGCACGGAATGTGCGGCTCTTCACTGTGGTATAAATCAAGTAACAGCACCTTTGGTTGTTCTGTTTCTAAACTTCTGTCTTGTAAGGCCAAATTCAATTTGCCCAATGCTTCCCACAGCACATCAAGATTAAGAAGTCTGGGGAATCATCCTGCTCTGCCACTGTAAATTATCACAGCTCCACCAACTTTACGCTAACATGAAACGCCAAAGAAGCGCTCAGAATTCAACAGTGATGAATTTAATATGCCTACTTCCACTAGCCTGATGTCAGCAGAGTTACAGCAATTTATGCAATACAAGGATCTGTCCTTTTCTCCTTATCAAAGCATTTGATCAAAATCAGTGACATGGAAAAAGACAACCTTACTTAATTTGAGCAGCAGAGTCAGGCTTGTCACTCCAACATCATAAGAAAAAGGGAGGTATTTGCATATGGGTACTTGCATATTCTTTTTTATCTGGCTTCACAAAGATAATTTTCTTCCACAGTAAGAACCAGTGTGAAACCTCACAGAGGACCAGCATTTTCCCTTCCTCTTTCCTCCCCCCTTTCCTCTCCTTTGAAAAAGCAACACCTTGAGACATTTCAAAATCCGCATCAGCCCATTCTCCGCTTGTGACAGCGTGATGGCGTGGAGTTGCTCCAACTCACTCCATTCAATCCACCCTCAAGTCAAAGGAAAAACTCCATTTCTGATGCCGTATGACAAAAAGCCCACATTGCTGAACACTGCTACCACGTGGCTCGACCCGCCAGCCATCGCAAGCAGCAGTCTCTACCCCGCACCGCAGATCTCGAGTGTGTCGAACCAACAAATGAGCTAACTGAGGAGATGCAACTCTTGAGGATGCATTTTAAAAAAGGGGATGCATAAATTCACTCATTTGGAAACGTGATCCGTTCAAGAACTTGTTACTATGACAATTTAGAAGAAGCTGCTACAGATAAGATTGATGAAACTTATTGATTAATTTTCTCTCAAGCTATGTTTGAATTTTAAGTTTTCTCTAAACAGAACCAGTTCATGTCGCTTTGTTAGTATTCCAGGGACCCCAGCAATGTGCTTCAGCAGGGAAGGAAGTTCCATGATAAATGTGTTCTCCAATCTGCGTCTGTAAAGTAGCTATAAAATCAAAACAATTCATGCAAAATTTTTCATTACGTTTCTAAATATACTTATTTACATTTTAAATCACACTTAGACAATATGAAATATCTTTCACTTAGACAGGTGGGAACAAGAAAACAGATGCATCCATTACGCTTGAAACAATTCAATGAATTAAATAGTACTTGGTGAATGCTTTGGTTTATGGATATAGCCCTTGTTTAAACTTACTTGAAAAAACACGGCCATGGCTCCTACTACCCTGTTTTCTAGAACTGCTGTTCCAAAACTGTCAAAGTCATCAGGATTGTAGAAGTAAATTTGCATCTGTAAAAATTAAAAAACAACAACAAAATCACGTTAGGGTTGATTCATACAGCTTTCAAATGAGGTAATGCATCACGTCGTACGTAAGCCCAGTGTTATGAACCTGAGATAAAGGAATTCTGCTGAACAATATTGTTTAACTAGCATCTTGATTAATAGCATGACTGCCCTACTGGGACAGTAACCAGGGAACAGAGTCAATGCAATGCATTTTAATAACAAACCCAAGGGTAAACAGTATGGCCAGTCTCTTTAGATGGTAAGCTTTGTGCTTTCTGCCAGGATCTCTTCATTTCTTTGCTCATTGCAAGCTCATCTCCTGCTCTGTTAAATGTGCTAAACATATTTATCTCAAAAACCGTAGAGAATTTTTGAAAAGGATTTCAACGTTTAGAGTTATTCCTTTACTCCTAAAGCAATTTGTAAGATAAAAGTCTGTCTCTGTAGCAATGCATTTTTATGAGCCTCTGATATCCAGAACTATCAGTTAGGGTCAGACTTCTCCCTGACTTCAGTTAAATTTCATGACTTTTATTTCCAAAGCATTAGTACTCGGCAAAAAGCATAAGTGAGACAAAACCAGATATTTTGATGTCATTTTAGGACGAGTAATAAATATTAATAATTAGGCAAACCCAAAGTGAAAGCAGGTGAGAACAATGATTACCCTAAACCAGCGAATGTCTGAGTTACACAAATATAGGACCGAGAAAGAGCTTCCTTCATCCACTCTGCTGCTGAACAATCCCGCTTTACTACACACACACGTGCCATGAATACGGGCAACTCGCAGTGGCCCGTGGGCGCTACTGCTTTTAATTCCCTCTATGGCTCTTGTTCCATTTACCGCATCAGCTGAGCTCCCGCTTCTGCCAACCATCCTGACCCACTGCTGCTTCTCCAGCGGTTCTTCAACCTCCTCGTTCCCAAAGCAGCCCCCAGTGTTAGCCCATCTGTATGGGCCATGACTCGCTCCAAAGGATCTGCTTTACATCCAAAACATGCAACGCTCCCTTCTCAACGTTACACCACACAGGTGTGCACATTTTCATAGAATAAATTCAGGCTTTTCACAGCATTACTAGGTGATAAGAAATAGCCACACAGGAGATAGTTAAATGGAGATGTAAGGTCTAAGTGAGGCTGACACGTGGCCGGTCTGAGCATGGCTCCCTCCTGCTAGTCCGTCTACAGGCAAATGCTCTGCTGGCATAAATAACTTGTTTGGGGCTGTTTGTTTTTTTCCAAGATTGCGCTGCATGACAATACCGTATTCACATATGGAAGTATTTTCCCTGTATTCTGAAATTTTGTATATTGCCAGATGAGATGATACCCTTTTATCTTGCTCAGAAGTTCCTACTCATATTTAGTGATTCCCAGGCTTCTGCCTGTATATATTGGCTGTAATGAATAATACTGGCCAAGTACCTATACATCTAATAAAACATCACCATATAGAGAAAAGGCCAAGATGAAGATCAGTCTCTTCAGAGGAAAAGGTAATTTTAAATTGCTCAAAAAAAAAAAAAAAAAAAAAAAAAGAAAAAAGTGTCTGGCACTCACTCTAGCTTCATAAAATTTGAAAGCAATTTTCTTCCCCTATTTTGGCCTTCCTATTCCCAGTGTATTCACAGCACACACAGAGGTGCTGGCAATATCTCACAAAGTTGGTGGTGCCTCCAGGTTCTGACAACTCGTGCTTTGAACAAATGTAGACTGAGGTACAGCCATTCGTTGATGTAGAAATTAGAAACAGTTTGTTTCAGGTAGAATTGCTTAAACTTCAATTTAGCCAGCACAGACAAAGCTCACAAAACACTCACAAATTACTTTTTACTCCCCTTTAAAATGAACCCTAAAATTAGGTATACCTTATATAAAACACTTCACTATATAGTCCTCATAGGAGTTTATGAAGAAAAGTATCACTGAATGAGTTCAGCATATGCCAAAATCATTTTGGATCAATTTTGCTCACGGCATTTTAAGGAAATTAATTTTTACAATACACTTTTGGATAGCAGTGCAAAGGGCTTTGGTAAAAAAGTGCTTAATTCAGATCCCTCGTCTCAGCAGTGCAATTTCACAGACTAATCAAGAACCACACTCTGCCTTGATTACCATACACATTGAAACATTTTCCCACTGCTCCCTGGTGTTTTTCCAGAGAGCGTGGTTCCTCTCTCTGCATCCATCAAGTCAAGGGGAACTGTCTTGTATGAAAAATTGTCGTCATCTGTCATACAGTAGCTTCCTTATGTGTTCATACAGCTAGAAGGAATATTTTAGGAGCAGAATCTCCCAGGAATTGCTATTATATAATTTACACACGCATACACTGCAAAAACAATGTTAAGGAGATGGGAAAGTTACATCCTCAAAGCTACACCGTTCAGGCTGATCATAAAACCACACCTGGACACCAATGAGCATTAGTATTATGGCAGTTTTCTAATGATGTGATCACATATTATTCTCTTCCATAATACATGCTCATCTGGTTCCCTGCAATTTACCAAAAAAAAAAAAAAAAAAAAAAAAAGGAAATGCATCTAATGTATTTTTGTTCTTTTGTACATAATATACATAATCTTGAATGCATTTATCAGTAGATATTAAATTTATTATTTTCTATGGATGGCATAATGTTCTTTATGTACAAATCAGGAATAAGACAGTTAACCGTAAAATTAATTTCACCGCATACTTAAGTGGCCTAAACATGCCAGAAAATTTTCATTATTACTCCTTATTATATAATTAGTATATACAATACCTGGTGCATTTTGCATATAAATGACTTCTACTGTCTCTGCCTGGCAGATACAAAGCAGTAGTACAGAATGCAACAAAGGGGCATTTAAGCTAAAGAAAATTTGGATCTTATTATGACATGTTATTCGTGAAATGCAGAATGGATCATCAGCCAAGCTTGCACATCCAACCTGAATTATGGCAGTGCCTGGCTTCAACACCATAAACCATCGTTTTCTTGTACATTGTTGCACATGATTCAACAATGGTGTCTATTTTCCAAAATTTAGAAAATATATGTATTTTTTAAGGCTCTGAATCCCTTAGCAATGGGAAAGTCTGCAATACTCTTTGTAGTTTCTATAGTGTGACACTAACTGTCTGCAGTCAGAAAGCTCTGCTCCACACATCCCTGCTGACAGTGCTCCAAATAGCCGTCCCGATGGCATAGGTCCCAGAGGGCATAAGAATCCTGTTCTCTATGGCACAATACACTAGATTTATAAGTCTTTCACATCCAGCCCCATTACAACTAACAAGGCTGGGAAAGGCTTACATGAACTTCCTTAATCTCAGATGTGCAACACAGCAGTGTGCCTGCGTGTGCCTTGTAAAGATCTATTATAAAAAACCACGTAGTGTCCAAGCAACTTGAAATTTTCAGTCTTTTGATAAGGCTAAGCTGAAACAAACCGTCCCTAGCAACGCAAAGGCACTCTCTTGCAGGAAGACGCTCTCCATCCTAAAATGGTACCAACAACTACTGCAGCTACTGAGCTTTACCAAGCCAGGGAGAGGGCAAGAGCTTGCTTTTAATAGGAAAACTTTATGCTTTGACACTCTTCACACTCTAGAAGAGTAGAATTGTTTTCACTCAAACTTGAGAGAGATTTGTTGTACAGCACAGATTAAGCCTGAAAAAAACTCACTGAAAGGGAAAATCTTCAGAATGTTACAAGTGCCTTAAAACAGAGGATTAGAGAGAAAACCCTCACTCTGCCATAACCCAGGAGATAATTGCCAGTCACCCTATAAACCATGTCATGTTTTCTAGTCTCTTCTCTCCAGGAAGATTCAGTGCCCAACCATTACAGTTTCCAAGCTCTCCAGGCCTTTTCCAGCTGACAACACTTATACAAATGAATGCACCATATACATCCAACACCTGAGTAATTCCCCAGCCTGGAGCATCTTCACCTCCATGTTCCCACCACCTACAACACCCTCCACCAGGCCACGGGGCAGCAATCCCCTCTTCCTTGGGGCCAACCTACTCTCTGCACAAACACCTTTCTTCAACTGCGTTCTTCCAACCTCTACAGAAACCTGGTGTTCTCCAGAGCTGGTAAAACGTCAGGTCCTGCTCCATCCTTAAGAGATTTTCACTCAAAACTGGGCTGCCACCACACTGATCTTGTAAGGACAGGCTGTCCAAAACGTGCTTGTGTATTACTGAGAAATACTGCCCACCAGACATCAGTTCTGATTTTATTAAGTACAATTGCCTCTGAGTGACTAAACCCTCTTTATGAAATGTCACTGGCTCACAAAAATTGAGCCTGATTCAAATGAATGACTTCTCCCTGCCACAAATAAAAGGCTCCAGCTCTCTGCTCGGATGCTCCTCCTCTGCTTGGCAAGACAGACATCCAGACAGAAATCACCATTCCTGTGCATGACATGTTTTTGCTCTTATTACCCCACTACAAAGACAGAAAGTTTACATCCAATACAGACTATCATGGCTAAACTCATTCAGCACTTATGAGAGAAAAGCCACAATGAGCATTTGATAGATCCCAGAAGATGTAAGCCAGTTCAAAGCAATTCTCAGAGACTGGAAACCAAGCAAGTACATTTTTCCATAGACAGATGCCAAGTATTTTAAAAATAAATAATTGAGACTTTTAAATTGGACTGCTATCACCCTGTGCAACCTCCTACAGCAGATTTCTCTTTAGATTAAAAAATGAACAAAGGCTCATTGTGCTTTCACAGATGTGGAGTACAGAATATTCAATAGTATCGGGAATTCTGGTGGAAGGGAAAAGATCGTCAGAATTAGCTTTCCGCTCGTTTCCTTCCAGCAATCCAAGGACTACCATGCAATTTAAAGCTGAAAAAAAAGAAAAAGAAAAAGAAAATGGTTTTACAGGCCAGCCAATTTTTTGATGAATCAGGCGGCAAGACACAGAGGCAACAGATACGTGGTTTATTATGTACCGCTTTAGATACTGAGAGTA